CCTACTTCATGACTTTATTATTAACTCCCCCACTTTTCACCCCAAAACTTCCACCTTAACAGCTCTCTTGATCTTTCCTCTAGGCTCAAAGGATGAGTCTTCTCCTTTCTAAGGCTGACTGCACTCCTGCCCTAGTTTCACCATCCATGCCTCCTCCAGGGCCTGCTCCATGACGTACACTCTTTAATATCTGACACTATTTCCCCATCCTTCACTGTCCAGTACCTCCTTTCCCTCTGCCTACAAGATGCTCAGTAGCTTTTGATTTTCCACCAAAAAAGAAATAATAAGCCCCTTGGTCTATGTCGTGCTAACCCTCTCCAAGCTTCTGACCCATATTGCTCATTTCATCCATCATCAAAAATTCTCAAAAGCAGGGTGGACACCTGCTGCCTCTGCTTTTTCACCTTCTGTTTGCTCCTTCTCCCACTTTGATCTGGGTTCTGCCCCTGTGTGTCCACCAACACCACTCTCTTAAAGGTCACTAGTGTTTGTACACTGTTTCCAAAGACCCCTTCTGATCCCCACCTGCTTTCTGCAGTATCAGATACTGTTGGCAAGTTCCTCCTCCATTGAATTCTCTCCTCGCTTGGCTTCCATGACAACCCTTTCTCCTCACTCCCCTCTTCCCTTACTGACCAATCCTCATCTGTCCGTCCTACCATGCTATGCCAAATTCATCTCCCGAAAGCTCCCAATAAGTGTTTCTCTGTTTAGAAACTGTCAATGGCTCACCACCGCCTGTAGAAAAAAAAAATCATGGAGTTATAAAATAATGCAACTATCTGCAATGCATAACATATAATGCAATAATATGTCAGAGGGGTTCAAACATTTTTAAGCAGCAGAATCCATTAAAAAGAATCTTTCTCAGAAGCCCAATGTTTAAAGAGCATAAAAACAATGTATTCTTTAAATATGGATCCTATAGCAGTGAGGAGTGAGGAACCCAGGAAATTTTAAGGGCTCTCATAATACTATTGGGAAACCACTGAACCAATTAAATTCTTCAGACTGCAGATGAGAAAATGGACCCACAGAAGAAAAGTGATTGGTAGAAAGTAGCACACCATTTGAGGTAGTCAATCAACACATTTCAGTAAGTGCCTACCGAGTCTCAGGCCCATTCTAGGTGCTAGGGATAAAGAAGGAAACAAGAGGGACATGGTCCTGCCCTGGAGGGGCTGACAGCCCAGTGGGGAATGAATCAAGTATTATGAATAACTACTGAAGTGGTTTCAAGTATGCAAAGGGAGCTGTGAGCACATGTAAGATGAGACTTACTTGGTCTGAAGGGTAGAGTGGGCCACTCTGGAGAAATGACACATGTAAACTGAGCCCTAAAGGATAGATAAGTAGCTGGCCAAAAATAGGGGGAAGAGCATTGGTGCAGATGAAACAGCTTGGGTAAAGGTCGAGATAGTGAGTTTGATGGCTGGAACCTCTGGAAAGCCCAGCAACTTCTACTCAAAGCCCTAGAGCTGGATGAGACAAACTGAAGAAGCAGGCAGCCCCATAAGCCTAGCTGAGGACACTGGCTTCAGAGGCTGGAAGGCCAAGGAAAGGTTCTCAGGTGTTAGACTCTGGTCATTGAATTAGAAGACAGTCCACTGCTAAATGCAATGTGGAATCATGGATTGGATCCTGGAACATAAAACAGACATTAGTGGGAAAACAAGAAATCTGAATAAGTTCTGCAGTTCAGTTTAATAGTATTATATACCATGCTAATTTCTTAGTTTTGACAAATGTACCATAATCTATAAGATGTTAACATTAGGGGAAGCTGGATGAAGGACAAACAGAAACTCTGTATCATCTCCTCAACTCTTCTGTAAATCCAAAACTATTTCAAAATAAAGTTTTAAAAATCCATATTCCTTCTGGCACCAAGGCAGACAGAAGCAAAACTGGATGTGGAGAGAGAGATTACAGTAATAATGATGACTAACACTTAAACTGTTCTTCCTGTATACCAGGCATTTTTCCAGACACTTAATGTGTTTAACTCATTCAATTCTCACAACTCCATGAGATTGGTGTTATTATTTCCCTTCATTAGGCAGATGAGGAATCTAAGCACAGAAAGGTTAAGTCCCTTGTCTAAGGACAACACAGCTACTGGGTGGAAGTGCTGGGATTGAAGGATTTGAATATTGGCTGTCTAGCTCCAGAGTCCCAAGTACTTGACCTCAGGCTATATTGCCAGAGGATATTGCAAGAATCAGGCAGAAATCATGAGCGCATGGACTAGGGTAATAATACTATAGAAAGAATGCTATAGAAGTGGAGCAATATCGCTAGACTTAAAATATATATTAGAAGCGGAATCAACAGTGCTTGCTTTTGAATTAGAACATGGTGGTTGAAGAAGAGGGAGGAAGCAAGAAATGACTCCTGGACTTCCAGCTTAAGAGTAGGGACCAGAACCTAGTCTCATGCTTGGTCCTGTGCTTCTTCCTGCCAATGAAGGAATCCTAGACAGTTCACAATCTGGCTGTCCCTTTATTTTACACATTCCCAGAATGCAAAACAAACTGGATCATTTGCTGTTCCCACACAGGCCCTGCCCTATCCCATCTCTATGTCCTTGTACAAGCTGTTCCCTCCACTGAAATTCTCTCCTCCATCTCCCTTGGTCCAAATTTGATCCACCTTTCAGGGCTCAGTCAAATATCACCTTTTCCAGAAGCTTTCTATGCCCTCCACAATGAGAAGCACTAACTCTCTCCTCTAGATGCTAGCATGGTTTGGCTCTCTTTGGCAGTGACCTTCCATCCTATAATAATATAGTTATTTCAGTAGGTCTTGGTTGTTGCTCACTTTTGTATCCTCAGCACCTAGCATAGTAAGTATACAAAAAGACTGAGTAAACCTACAAGCTCTATCTTATTTTCCTTTGCCCTCTTTCTAGTTCCCTTTTCTGTCCCCAGCAACCCAGTATGTACACACACACACACACACACACACACACACACACACACACACACACCACCTCGCACCTATGCTGGTGATTTGCATATTTTAGGGGCTTGTTTAAAGATGATGAGTTGGTACCATGCTATCTCATTAATTGCTTCCATCTTCTCCAATCCCCAAGCAGCTATGCCAACCCCCAGACACACCCTCTCTGGAAGCCCATTTACAAGCAGATCAAAGAAGCCTTACCCAAAGATGGAGAGGTGGGAGAACATGAGAAGGAAATGAGCAGGCATTGGTGCATCTGAAATTGCCCCCTCAAACCCATCCAGTCAGCTCCTACAACATGCCTGGCAGAGTATGAGACCCCAATGAACTCAATTCAGCCTTGGCCCTTAAAGTACTTAGAGACCAGTGGGGAGGTGCCTGGCTATCAGACTGGGCTACCACAAATCATGATAAGGTAGTCATCCCCCAGCATAAAAACCTCCTGGTGGCTGCTCAACATTCATGGATCTGCAGGACTCTCCTTTCCCCAAGTCTTAGGCTCAGGCTGCAACCAAAAATTTTGGAGCCCTACTCACCCAAGCTGTTGCTGGCCTTTCTGCCTTTCCTCATGCTGACAGAGCTATCTTAAACTAGTCTCCTTAATGACTCCTCCCACCAGTACATCCCTTTGTCTGATTGTCCCATAGATGACTCACTCAGACCCTGTGAAGGCCCCTCCCTCCACTTCCCTAACAAACTGAATGAGAACTTTTCTCTGAGACCCACCAAATCCTATGTGCACATCTCTGGGACACAGCACATATTAGATGCTTATTTATAACATCTGTTTCTATGTCTGTCACTATCCCCAACCCCCCAACTAGACTGAGTGCCTTTAGGACAATGACTATGTCTCTGTATCCCCAAGCTTGGCACAGTATTTGGTACCAAGAATTCTGGGTTACATTTGTTAAAGGTAAGTTCATGAGTGTGGTAGTGTTCCAGTGAGTGCTAAATTAGATTGCTTCAGCCAGAAACCAAGAGACGCTCCAGGGCCAGATCCCAAATATTGCTCACCCTTCTGCTCCTCCCCCTCCCAGGAACTAGAATTTAATTTTAGCAGGAAGGGCCACTTCCCCTTTGCTCCTGCCGGCTGGGCAAAAGGTAGGAATGGGCAAAAGGCAGCAATAGGCAAAGGGAGCATCTCTAGTTAGGCATCTGGAGAGAGAACTCGGTTCTCCTTAGTGGAAAACCCTGTCTGTCTGCCTCCTTCTGGGAGAAAAGATGGGAGTAAGAGGTCCAGAGGGAAGGAGGAGAGGGCAGGCTTAGGACTGCCAAGTGCTTGGAGGGCCCAGCCACCTTGGCAGGAAGATGACCACACCCAGATGCGGTGGGTAGTAAACGGGATGGGGCAGAGAGTGCCTGCCCTGCCACAGATACTGACTGGATGCGTCATTTTCGCGGGAATCCTGTAAATCACTCAACACAAAAGGTGCTGACAAAGGAAGCAGAGTTCCATTTCACACTCTATCTGGAGAAGGGGAGGGAGCTTCAGTTTTTAGAAAAGGAACCCCTGAAGGGAGCAGAGATTGGAAAAGACCAGAAACCTCAGTGGCCCTATCTCACCCACTAATGCTCACCACGACTTCTCTGGCAGCTTCCAGTAGGGCCCGCCTAGCTGCCTCTCCATTTAGCGTCCAGATGCTGCAGAGACGGAACTCTGGCTACCGGGTTCTTCTCCTAGCTCTGCCACTGTCTGCTCTTGAACCCCTGAGCTAGTAGCCTTACCCTTCTTTGGGCCTTTGTTTCCTCATCTGTAAAATGGGGCCAGGATGTAGTAGAGGGGCCTGTGGAAGCCCTTTCAGCTCGGACATTGCTAGATCCAGAAGCCCGCACAGCGCAACAC